AAAAAGATTAGCCCACTGACCAGGTGGTGTCCTCACCAAAGCTTCCTCTTAATTACGAAGTCCAACTTGAATGGTAAGCTGGAAGATAGACAGGGTGAGAAACAAAGAGCAAGTTGAAGGAACTTGATTTTATCCCAAAGAACCATGTTGTCATGTACTTTCCGGCTGCAACTGATTCATAGCAGACCCTCCAGCAGGTTTTCAGAGGAGGAAACTGATCATCTTTCTCCTATGCTAAGGGATTCGAACCATTGCCTTACAGGTTGGCAGCTGCAACTCCTTACCACTAGCCCCCCCAGAGCTCCCTAAAGAACAATGCTGTTGTTAGGTGCTGTTGAGTTGTAGACAACTCATAGCGACCCTATGAACAAAAGGCCTGAGCACTGTTCGTACATAGAGTTTCTGGAGGCAAGCTATTTCGGAAGTGGATGCTGCTCCTGCTTCCAAAGAACAATAGAACTACTTAAATATTTAAAGCACAATAAAAGACATTGTGTGATTTACATTGGAGAAACATCTCCTTGGGGGCAGTGTGAAGAAAAAGACAGGAAGAGGTGAAGAACAGAGGAAGAAAGACCAGTGGAAGATATCTGGGAGGGAGATTAAACTAGGCTGTGTCAGTAGATTAGTGAAGGGAGACAGACTGCACCTATGAATGTTTTGCCAAATTGTTGGGATTTGACGACTATTTTGATGTTGTGTCATGGGAGACATTAGACTTTAAGTAGAAGGTTAATAAGGTCTAGTGTGCGTGTAATATGAAGAATAGAGGCACCTATGATATAAAATATCATAGAAATTAATTTTTTCTCATTTTTGAGAGGCCTGAGCATGAGCTAATGAGGAATACTCTAGGGAACAGAAGACTCAAGGAGAAATACCCACAAAGCAAGAATGAACTCTGAGAAACAGCAATATATAAAGAGACAAGTATTTAGAGGAGGTACAAGATTAGCAACCTTCTAAAGACAGAAGAGGTAAAAGGTTGAAGAGAACAAGAATTGTAAGGAAGACTGACATTTAAGGAGATGGCCTACTTTACATGATGTCCTGAAAAGAGACGTGGGTTTTGATTCTGCCACATGTGTTTTATTGGTCACCTTTTGTCAAAGCAAAGTCAACAGTGTGATGTCAGATGTCACTGCAATGAAAAATGATGTGAGTGATGTGAACAGCTGGAAATATAAAGTGTATTCTGAGAAGTTAGGTGTGAAAAGAAAGGCATTAGGGTAAGAAACCTCTCTTAACTGAAAGAGACAAGGGTAGAGGCAAGGAAACAATGTTCATCGATGGAACAAGAGGAGACCACAAGAGGTAGTATCACACAGAAAGAACTTTCTTAAATTTTAGGAAACACGGGGAATGCAAATGAGGACACTGGTAAGTTCAATGGGCAAGAAACAAAGCTGCTTTAAAAAATACAGAAGATAGGAGGACAGGCTTGTTTTTCATTGTTTTTGTTCAAACATTCTTCTAGGTTGCATAGCCCTGGTGTGTCCACTTGCTGTACAGGGGTAACTCGTGGTTGCTGTGAAGCTGAACACTGTAACACTGATGTGTCAAATGCGTTAATGGTTACCCAGGTGAACAGTGTTTGGTGGAGCTCCCTGATTAAAACAAGCTTGGAAGCAGGAGTGGCATCTACTTCCGTAATAGCTTGCCTCCGGAAACCCTATGAACCTGGAGAGAGAATGAAAGTCACACAAGTGTTGAGGACTCTTCTTCATAGGGTAGCTATGAGTCGCCTACAACTCAGTGGCACTTAACAACAGGAGGACTTAACAGAAAATGAGGGAGCTCTGGTGGCATAGTCTATACAGAGCTCTGCTAACCCAAAGGCTGAGTTTCTATGGCAGTGAGAACTCACCAGCCATTCCGAAGGATAAATATGGTCGGTCTCCTCCTGCTTGGTTCGCAGCCTCAGAAACCCAACGGAGGGTCAGCTCTGAGTCAGTTTTGACTTGATGGAAATGAGTTTGAGTTTTCTGATTAAGGGACCAGCCATTTTCAAGGTATGTCTCGGAGAGGGTGTGGCCGGAGTGCTCTGTGGAGGCCAGAATGATGTGGCTTCAGCTCACATACTTTGGACATGTTGCTAGGAGGTGCTATTCTTGGAGGAGCAACATGATGCTTGGAAGAGTGAAGGGTCAGTGAAGGAAAGGAAGCCCCTCAACCAGGTGGATTGAATGGAGATTGCTGCAATGGGCTCTTATGTGACAGGAAGTGTGAGGAGGTTGCAGGATAGAATAAGGTTGCTAGGAGTCGTGCTTGACTCAGTGGCACCTAACAAGAACAGCTATATCTAAATAGGCACACATTTAGCAGAACAATCCATTCAGGAATGAGCAATGTGAAAAATCCACCCTTTTCATATGATACTTATAATTATTAATATTTAGGAGTCGATGAGTATATACATATATGACAGAAGGAAAAAAAACCACTTCATAGTCACTGTCTTTTCATGCTAAATTTTTATTTCAATGTTATGCAACTGCATAAGTATAAATATACAACAATTATGACATCCATAGGGAATTTCATAGAGAAAATAAGACTGCAAACACTTTATTGCACAGATCCTAACAAACTTTTAAGCTGGTAAATCTACAGCTGGGAGTACTACCAAGGAGCACATCTTACGATCACACAGAGACTGACCAACTAGAACACAGTTAGGAGAACTTCTACCAGCTGATTGGAGAGGTTTACAACAGACAGGAATGACATGAATGCAACCTTAGGTACTCTTTACTTACCCGAAATGCAAAACACATATTTGGCAAAATGATAATACACTATACAAAATATACATAAAAATATCATTTGTAAACAAGCAGCTAGTTGTGCTTTAAAGGAAATGGGACAGTTAAAAAGCAAAGGCTGTAAACCATCATCTGCCTCCCAGATAGACTTGTCTTGATGTCTGAGTGCAGAAGAACTGGGTTATGACAACCGCCAAACACAGATATGCATTATATATGCTGAGACCACTTCTGAAATCCATCTATGTTCTTGTAAAATATTTGTTTCTTCTTTGATTTCAAAAAGTAGTAAAGGCAAAGGCTAAAACGGCATTGGGGGGGGGGAAGAATATTTAGGTGCAAGGAAGAGATATTTTTCTTTTTGATGCCATTGCTATTTGATTTTACAATGAAGGACAACCAAAACAGTCCGTTAAATTATGTCTTTTGTTTTAGGAGAGGAGTTTACAGCCTTGCTAGTTGATTTACAATCTATAGGGCCATAATATGATGCTGTGCTCAGATGAACAATTTTACAGCCTGAAGATATGATGATATCCTAGATGGAGGTTGGGTTCTGAATTAGTTATTTACTGGTATTTTTTTTTCTCTTACACAGAAACAAACAAACCAAAAAACCCTGCTATAGATCCCAAGTATCTTATAAATACTTATCTGTGTGTATTTTCTCTTAGTGCCATAGGACTTATGTCAGCAAGTGCTGTCTTACAAAACAAGTCACCAGAAAACTGCAACAAAAACCAACCAAACAAAACCCTTTCAGTGCTAAAATGATTTGATAAATTCTACATATTCCACAGTATACAAAATTTAAATAAGGCTTAGCAAAAGTAAAAAGGACAGTCACATTCTAGCACCAAATAGCTCCAACAAGTCCGTGTGTTATAAAAATGCTGCTCTTTATTAATATAGTATTATTTTTGCATATAAATAAAGAGAGCATGTTATGACATGTACGGAGCTACTCAATGCATCAGAAATGAATGTGAAACCCGAGAACCTGCTAAAAACAGCAAGCTTCATCTACAACATAAGGCCCCAGCTATGTATTAAAATGTATCTGATGTCCTGATGATTTCTTTATATGCTATGATGCCAAAATCCACCACCCTTCTTTTCTTCCCCAAACAGAATTTCAAACCTCTTCAATATGCCTAATGCTTATTGACTTGACCCTAAGTAGTAGCAGATCTGTGTGTGGTCGGTAATTTTCCTTCTTATTCAAGAGCAGGGCTGGTGTAGGACAACTATAAAACGTGTGCTTCTTGGACTAGTGACTCACAGCATAAAGGCCTGAGTTTAAGAGTATGAAAAGGGAAAGAAAGATAATAGAAAGGAAGTTGACATTTATTTATAGTTCCCGTTTCACTTAGGGTGGAGACCAACACACAAACCCACAGACAAAGACAACTGACCTTTCTGACAGTTGGACCTGGGATCAAATGTCCATTAGAATGACTTTAACATGTAAATGGCCAGCTCCATTAGTTCTAGTCATTCCTAATGGAGGAGGATTCCAAATGCAGTAATTAAGAGGAGTTCTTGTTTAAGATCTGGAAATATAGGTAGCCAGATGTGGTACTATCAAAAATCTCTTATTAAAAATACACATTAAAAACTTGCAATCTACTGTATGTAGGGCTTTCTTTCATCTTTAACTCTACTTAGAAGATTTTAACTTATAAAAAATGTCACCTTGAAATATTCTCTTAAACTACAGACTGGAACAGATGTGTGGATATGCATATACATGATCATAGGTGCATATATAGATATACACCCAGTTTAACTGTTTTGCTTGCTTACTACATTAGGATAACTAAGTGGTAAAGCAAAAACCTTACAATAAAACAAAAAATTTAAAAATACCCAGGAAACAAAACCCAAAATCAAAGCTGTAGTAAACGACGCAATCAGCAGCAAGGTATGGACTCTACATTCAAAACCAAACACATTGCTAGATATTTACAGAGAAAATCTTTCCCCCTCACAACTTCAACTGTAAAGGTATCTTTTGTCTTTTTGTACAAACACTATATGGTAACAGTTTTACCGGTTACAATTGGGAAGGCATTTGGAAGAAGGTCCCCTCTTTCTCTCTCTCCCCGCCCCTTCCTGACCTAGGCCCTCGCTCTGCCTGGCGGACACTCCACACAGTGCTGGTTAAGAAGGTCGTCAAGACACAGTTCCACATTCAGGCCGGGTCTCCACAGTCCTGCCCCCACGCCTGGCCCATTACGAGGCCTTTTTGTGAGGACTGCCCCGCAAACTCTCTTTCCCCCGCCTCTGCCGCACCACGAAGTCCTTCTCAGAAGAAAGGGTGAGGGGGCGCTCAGTGTTGGGGGCTGGGGATGCCTTGGCCACTTCTCGGCCCACATTCTGTTTCCTGGCCAGGGGAGGCTGGGCTGGGGCAGGATCCTTCCCTTTGATTTCCCCGAAGGTGGTGGTCACTGAGAAGGCCCTGTCTCGGTGGCCAGCTCCTGCACCCAGGTTTGGGTCAGGGTGATGGGGATCAAGAGTGACGGTGGAGCTCCAAAATGATGGCAGCGAGTCACTCTTTGTCATCTGGGTTCTGCCATCTGCCCCAGACATGGTCTTCCTCGGGTCCCTGTTGTTGGGGAAGGTTGGGGGCTCAGCCGCACCCCCGTTGGTCTTGGGAGAAGAGCTGTCGCTGCCACCTGTAAAGGCCTCCTGGCCTCCTGGCCTGGCTTCTGAGAAGCTGGACGAGTAGCTCAGTGACTTCTCTGGGAGGGCAGTGGATCTGAAAGAACTCTGTCCAGTGGCTGAGGGGGATCGTTTCATGCCACCAGACTTGCTTGCCTCTGCCAAGGATTTCTGGGGACCTTTTCCTCTGGCCTCTGGGAAAGCCTTTCCCACGGCTGCAGCTGGCCTCTCAGGACCTCTCAGCCTTGTCTCACTGGGTGTCTGGGAAAGGCTGGACTCACCCTTGCCACTCTCTGCTGGGATGTAAAGTGCATCTGTGCATTTTCTCCCTTCAGACTTCCTGTCTGGAGTGCTAGCTGGCTGACTTGGACTCTTGTCCGTCTGTCTGCACAGAGTGGGACAATCTTTCACAGTGGATGGTTTGGAGTGCTTTGGAGACAAAGTTTGCTTCTCGTGGACAGAAGGAAGTTTCTGGTCCACTGACTCCCCAGAACTTGGGTGTCCTTGTCTGGGTAAATGCACTGGCTTCTCTACCACATCTGCAGGGCGACTTCCACTCGTAGGTTTTGGCTTCTGGTCTAGAGGGCTTCCTTCAGCCTGCAGTGGGAAGGCAGGCCCATTTTCTTTCTGGCCAATCACATCACTTCCTTTGCTCTGGGGGCCTGGCATGGCAGGGAACACATCCAGCAACCCCCTGCTGCCACTCTTGCCCTCTCGACCACAGCTACTGAGGGGCTGAGGAACAGGATCTTTGCCTTTGGTGGCTCCTGTGCTTGCTTTCTGGGAGAAGAGGGGCCTGTCGGGGTGCTTAGACTTTGGTGGGCAGGGATCAGGGCCTGGCCTGAGCTTGTGGCTGTTGCTCTCAATGTGCACAGCAGCAGGTGTGGGAGTGTCCTGGAGGCCTGGGCTGGGTTCACTGACATTGGCCTTGGTCGCTGGCAGTGGCTCTTTGCCTGAATGGCCTGGGAGGCTGCAGTGCTGCTGCCAAGTGGCCAGGGCAGGGAGCTCTTTGGTGGTTGTTGGGGGCTGAGGGCTACCGCTGAGTTGCTTCTGGAGAGGCTGGTCTTTCCTGTCAGAGTCCCTGGGGCTGTCTTTGTGCACAGTCAGGGAATCTGAGAGCTTCTCAGCCTTCCCACTCTCCATTCCTGCAGGCGGCAGGGACCGTCTGGCTGCAGGGGCCTCGGCCTTGGCTTCCACACCACTTCTGACCTTGCTGTGCTCCTTCTCCAGGGGGATCCCAGCGCAGCGCATGGAGGAGTCCTCTCTGGCCAGTGGCCTGGCCTCATCGCGGCCTTCTTTGTGGTTTGCTTTTGCACATGGCCCCTGGGCTTTCTCCATGGTCTGGGAGTGTGTGGAGGAGTCTGGCCGCATCCTCCCTGTGGAGAGGGTACTTTTGGAATTGTCAATAGCTTTAGTAGCTTCTGGAGGGTGCAGCTCTGAGGAAGGCTCTGAGTGGACATCAGCCCTTCTTGTGGTCCGCTCACTTCTGGCTGTGGAGGGGGCGCTCTCAGTTGACTCTCTCAGGCTGGGCTTCTTCCTTGAGGGGGTCTCATCAGAGGGTAGGAGGCTGCGGGGCCCAGTGGGGTCTGGGCTTTCAAGTCCACTGTGGAGGTTCTGCCCTGGGAAGGGAAGGCGCTTAGGATCAGGGGTTTGGTCTTGGTGTCTGGTGGTATGTCCTTCCTTCCCTTGAGGATCATTTTCCATGACTGTCACCAGGCCCCTGGTGGTGGAATGGGAGACCTTCCTGTCCCGCTTTAGCTCTGGGTCAGGCTGGGAGGATGAAGGAACATTCTGGAGACCACGGCTGGGTGGCTGGAACCGAGGCTCCAGTAGATAGGACTTGTGCATCTTCAAGCTGGTGGAGGGGTTCTCCCTCTGAGCAGCAGTTTCCCCCTTTGCAGGGCTGTTGGGTAGAGCTGGGGGTGTGCAGGGCTCTGTGTTACTGCAGCGGCCAGGGCTCTGGGAAGGCTCTGGGAACACCAGCTCTGTCTTGGAGGCCTGAGGTCCAGACAAGAGAGCAATGTCCAAAGTACCCTCAATAGGCTTTAGGCAGGACACAGAACGACCTTCTAGCTTATATTCAGAGGGGCTTTTCCTGGCAGGGGACTCAGGAGCAACCAAGCCTGGTTTTTCAGCCACACTGTCCACTCGGCTAGCCAAGGCCTTGATAGGGACAAAGGCAACAGCACTGATCTGAGCTGCGTGGGCCCCACCAATAAATGTCCGACCCTCTGTGGCTGAGGTAGCCTCCTGAGGACCCCCCGTGGGCCGGCCTGAGGTGCCTGGCAGGCAGTCATGGGTGCTTGCGGCCACCTTAGGCTTCAGCATGGGGCCAAGGCTGTCATCTTTGTCTTCAAGCGACACTTTCTTTCGGAGGTAATCAATACTGGCAAGCTTGCTGTCCAGCTTCTCACAGCGGGGACACTCCTTGGCCTGGGTGATCTTCTCTGTGTTGTCACCCTTCCCAGGGGCTGCCCTGTTGGCAAAGTGGGAGAGACTGTCTTGGAGGGTGCCAGGAGGGGAGACACGTCTGAAGTCCCCAGTGCCCTGGCTGTGCTCCCCAGGAGCGGGGCTGTGGCCGGACACTGTGCTGTCCAAGACCACGCTCTCGCTGGCCCACACACCAGCCTTCTTGTGAAGAGCATCCTTCAGCAGGCTGCCCGTAGACTGGGCTTCTTGTACACTGGTTTTGCTTTCAAAGTGACTTGATCGTTCCAATGCCTTTGGGAACATTTTCCTCTCTCTCTCCTCCAGTCTAAAAGAAGTAAGGCTTTCCATGTCACCACCAGTTCCGTGGGCTATCTGAGGGGTCTCCTGCTTCTCAGGGAAGCCATCTGGCTTCTTCACCACCACCTTGCCCTTCAGCTTCTCTCGATCCAGGTCATCTCCAGACTCCTGTCTGCCCAGCTTCCGGGAGACAGGGCGCTTCAGGCAGCCCTGCTCCACGGGCCTGGCTCGGCTGAGGGAGGGCGCATCACACACGTTCTCCTCCAGGCTCTGCAAGGTGGCCTCACGCTGTGACTGCTCCCGCTGCACCTCCTCCTGGGTCACCTCCAGGCTGTGCTTACGGGAGCACAGGTGCTTCTTGTCGCTGCTGTAGGAGGGTGAGAGCTTCTCTTCCGACTGGACACGCTTGAGCAATGGGGACCGCGGGGGCTCTGCACTCTTGGGCCTCACGATGTGCCTGACGATGGTGGGAGGGGAGTGCATCTTGCTGGGAAAGGCTTGCGTGATCTTGGCATTGCCCAGGGAGTGTCCCAGCAGAGGTGAAGGTGATCGCTGTGGGGAGGTGGGCTGAGGGGTCGGAGAGGGGGTCCGGGCCAGTGGGGAGAGCGGGATGCTGCCGGCTGACTTTCGCCTTCCAGATCGGTACCTCTGTCCACTGAGTTTGGGGGCCAGGCCATGAAGAGTGCTGGGCCGAATGTGCCCAGAGCCCGCTGGAGAGTTGGGGGCGCTGGAACTTGGGGAACTGCTCTGAGAGGAGTTAGTACCTGTGGGTGGAGAAGAGGAAAGTATTAATATTTGTGGGCATCTTCCCTTTTCCTTCCACTCCTGCAGCTCACATTATTTAAGGGAGGCTCAGGGACAGGCACCAGCCATTGTCTCAGCATCTTACCCTAGTGAAGTACTCTTCAGATGAAACTCCACTCACTGAGATTTAATTATACATTTTGACTTGGTGAAAATATTTACCAATTCATTGATCTCTACTTTGGTGGCCTACTGATAAAGGGGTTGCACTACCAACCAAAGGCTCATGGTTTGAATTTCACCAGCTCCTTTATGAAAGATAGGTGAGTAATCTTCTCCTGAGTGATTTAATGCCTATGGAAACCCACTGGTCAGCTATGACTCAATGCTGCATAACAATAACAACAACTGTATGTGTAATTTAGGGAGCTCTGGTGGCCTGGAGGTAAGAAACTGTGCTATAATCCCAAAGGCACACAGTCCGGATTCACCAGTTACACTGTGGGAGAAGGATGGGCAATCTCCTCCCGAGAGCGATTTACTGCCTCTGAAAACCCTCTAGAGGATCACCCATGGATTGGTTCTGACTTGATGGTACCCAACAACATATGTATAATTTAGTGGCACTGATTCCACTCTTCATGTTATGTGACCATTATTATGATCTTTTTCCAAATTATCTCCCTCTTATTAACATACTCTCCATACTTCCTGAGCAAACTCTGCTTCTTTCTGGTCTTAAATGGCCAGAACAGACATGCTTATGGCCCTCTGATAAGTCCTCGTCTATATTATTTAAACCACCAGATGGAATTAGGTTCACAACTCCGGGCTCTCAGATGCCGTGGTTGGCCTGTGTTTCTCTCTTCTCTGGGGTACCTGGCACCTCACTCACCAGACGGGAAGTCAGGTGTGGAGCGATAGCTTGGTGTAGGAGATCGTGGTGACAAACTGTGAGTGGGGGACCCGGGGAGGCTCTCCCCTGATGAGAGGGATCGGTTCAAACAGGAGAAACTTCGGCTGGTATGAAGCAAAGGAGAGGGCTGCTTGGCTAGCTTTTTGAAAAGGGATCTCCTTCTAGAGCGAACAGAGAAAGGAAAGGATCAGAAGATTAGTCAGACCAGCCCCATCCAAATTTTATTTTCAGAACCATGTCTGCCTCCCTACATACTCATGTGTTCACTGCAGCAAGTCTGTGTCAGAGACACTGACAAGAGAGGAGGTGCAGAAATTTGAAGAACAGGATATCATGTTTACATTCAAAAGCATTTTTATGAATTAGAAAGGCATATTCTCTGACTTAGAAAATAGAATTTTACCTTCATTCTAATTCCTCTAATAAGAGTTGGGGGAGGGAAATACATACATACATACACATATATAGTCAATTACTTATTTGTTAGATTTATGAGGAAGGTATTTTTTGGCTTGAAAGCTTCTGAGTACCTGTCCCAAATGATACAATTTAATTATGAGATCATACACAGTAAATCTCAGGAAGAAAACCTATTATCCTGGATACAGAATTCTTTAATGGTGATACACTGGGCAGAGGCTTTATCTGTTAAAGGCTGTGTGCTCTGCTCATCCCACTGTGGGCTCTTGAATATTCCTAAGTACAACGTAGGCTGGATATTTCAATAGAAAGCCTGAGAAAGGTGAAGCTGAAGCTTATCCTATCAGCATGGTGGCAGATACTATGCAGCAGCTGTGTAAGTAAATGTGCATTTAGTGCTCAATGAGGACCTCCTAAAGCAAAAAGCACTGCTCTAAATGACATGTATTTGTTTGTGGCTGTAGAAGCTTCTTTACCCAACACAGAAATCTCGCTAAGCTTAAATACTACTGCTAAGCTTAAATATAAAGGTTTTAGTCTTTGTTTTAATTGCAATCTCATTCCCTGTGTTTTATAGCCTCTGAAAATCTGCAGATCCTAGAGAGTCAGCTATGCATCCGTTCTGATTTAAGGGCCATGAGTTTGAGGTTTTTGAGATTATACTTGAGACAATTGTAGTCTCTGTGGATTAAAGAACAATCAAAATGTAAAATACAATATCAAAGAAGGATGCCAGAGTGTATATATGTGCAATTGTAATCAAAGACATAAATGTACTTTGGTTAAGAATTAAAATACTTCTAAGAGTTCCCAATGAATAAAGCAACTTCTCTGCTCTGCCTCCCCCCCACTTACTCCCTAGAGAAACCACATTCCACTCACTCTTTCAGCTGTTTCTTCTACGTGCCCTCAGATTGCTAACAAGTGTGTTTAGACCCTTTTTTTTTAAAAAAAAAAATAAGCTTTAGACATTATGTTGATTTCCTACTTAAAAAAAGATGATAATGAGATTCTTATATACATTCTCCTTCCGACTTCCTCTTTCCTATTCCTCTCAAGATGTTTAAACCAACTTCTTGTTTAGGAAAAAGAGGGGAGAGAGTGATAGATTGAAAGTGAGAGTAAGTAAGAGAGAAAGAGAATATGAATGTGTATGTCACTACACAAGAATTGTTCACAGCAAGGTCATGATGTAAAAGAATACATTCCCTTTCTTGAATGTTTTGTCTTTCCTAAAGTTTAGAAATCATTTATTTCCTTTTCATTTTCCTATTTTTCTCCATATTGATCAACAAAAATCTCGTAACACAGTCAGGTGAATCAGATGCAAGTGCATAATGAGGGATGTATTGTGATTATACCAAGAGTTGCCTTGTAAGAAATATTCCTAACAGAAATGCATACAAAAATCTTGCTGGTCTCTATCAGTAGCACACATGAGCTCTCATTATTACATCTCAGACAGTAAATATGTACAACTTAGTTACATTTTGGTTTAATAGACTAAAGCCCCTTTTAAGTCTACTTGCATTTGGAAGCTTGAAAGATATAGTTATTTTAGAATAGCTGGCATTTAAAAAATAGCAACTCTTTGTTTTCAGATGTTATAAAGGACATCATTAAATGTAGATATTCGTTAAAAAGTGCCTGGAGATTGAATTCCTCAAATCCAGCCCAACTAAAATGAAATACAGAGACTTAAAAGACAGAAGGGGCTTTTTATGGTATCCATACATGATAAAAGGCAATGTAAATCCTACAACAATGCAAACACATAAATCCTCTTATGATGAAAAGTTAATGCTACTATGCATATGAACTTCAATGGATAAAGTATATGGACCATATCATACAATGCCTAAAAGAGGAAAAAAGACCTTTCTTAGGTGTAAGCATTTAAATGAAGAAAGGAGTAACTTTTGTCTAACGTGAGTGCACACCAAACTTGCATAAAACATTGATTTAACTAACCTTTCTAGACTTTCCTTCTTCTTGGATTTCTTACTCCGCCTCACCATCCGGCTCTTATAGCTGTTCCTCCTAGCTGGTCCTGTTTTGATTGATGTGTTTTCAAATGGGGTAGTGGTGATTGACACCTTATTTCCACTCTATTTTAAAAAAAGAGAAAAAGAGAGAGAGTGCACACACTAGTATTAAAGAGAAAAGCCATTATGAAACAAGATCAAAGTAGAGATGAGCGATTAAAAAAACAAATAACAGTACAGATTGAACATACACATGGAAGGCCTTTGATTTATAGTATTGACCTTTTCAGTCAGGGAAGTGCTGACAACACAAAAATCAGTGGTGGAAGAAGGAATGTGCATTTTGTTTATGAGGACAGGCTCCAAAGTCTTCAGAGCTGAGTTCAAGTTTGAGTTCTGAGGCCTCTGCAGATTGCGTCTCTTAGTGATTCCTCAATTTCTTTTACTATCTGACAATATAACCACATGCATCTCCTAGGCTTCATGCAAGGATTAAATGAGACCATGTTTCTAAAGTCTTTAGCATCAAGTATGACACATGGAAAGAGCTCTATAAATAACCGTTAACTTCATCCATATGTATTGAGTATAAATGTGCCCAGGGGCTGTCTGCTCTTGGTTGGTTTACTTTTCTTTTTCTTTCTTTCTGTGTGTTCCTTTTGGCCTAGAAATCACAGAGTAGCAAAAATTGAATGGGACTTTAAAGGGTTCCTTTTCTACCATCATAAAACCTGTCAGCTCACAGAGCTGGAGTGTTTATGCCAGCTAGTGAGAAACGGCCTCCGTGTAACTGAGTCCCACAAGGTGAGAGCATCCCTGGTGGATTTCTGTGCCTTTTCACTCAGTCCTAGGACAAGGGCTCACTGCGCAGGCCTCAGGGACAGGTTTGATAATGGAATCAGAAAGCAGGTTGAGAAGGGCCCAGGGCAGGTGGACAAGCTTGTACCCATAGTGACCTTGGCATCAATTACCTCTCCTTGAATTTCTTAATAACCAGGGGAGAAACATGTCCTTTCAAAGTCAGAGAGAGGACTGATTGCCTTGTTTGCCAAACAGGAGAAGAGCCTTTACAAAAGCCTCATGCTTAGGAAAACACCTTGCAACTCGACTCTCCATGGTATCAAATGGAGTGGAGTTGGGTACAGTAGAATCATAGGGAGCCACAAGATAAGGGAGAGAGTGTTTTCAAGTTAATATCTATTTTGTTCCCTCTGATTTGGGAAATAATAGAGGCCTATTGTAAGAAGAAAATGATGAAGTGTAAAAATTAAAACAAAAAAAATCATTGAGAACACTACCATTTTGCAACTACTAATAATATTCCGGGTGGTCATTGGTGAGCTAATGGTGAGAGGTTGCCTGCTAATCCAAAAAGCATGTAAATTCAAATCCACTGCTGTTTTGCAAGACAAAGATGACAATCTCTAATGACTGAAAGCTTCTGAAAACCCACTGATGGGTCAGCTATGGGTTGGTTTTGATTCCAAAGCACATAACAATGGCAACAGTAATATTTCAAGGGAGCTCTGATGGCTTATTGGTAAGGAATTGTGCTGCCAACCCAAAGGCACATGGTTCAAATACACCCGTTTTCTGTGGGAGAAAGATGGGCAATCTACTTCTGTGTGTTATATGTTGTTGTCATTGGTGATTGCCTTCATGTTGAGCTCGACTCATAGTGACCCTATGAACAAAAGGCCTGAAGCCCCTCTCCAACTATCAACATTTATCAAAGTTCATAGAGTTTCTGAAGGCATGTTTTTTAGGAAGTGGATGCCGCTCCTGCTTCCAAAGCTGTCATGCATGTTACTGTTGTTATGTGCCATTGAGTCACCGGCAAAGTATAGTGACCCTATGTACAGCAGCTCTGAACCCTTCCCTGTTCTGAGCTAGTCTCACTAATTCTGACACACCAACGCCCATTGCCATTACTATATCAATACATCTCATCCGGGGTCTCCCTCTCCTGCGCTATCTGTCCATCCTTGCGAGAATGATGTCCTTTTCCAAGGACCAATCTCTCTGGGCCACATGCCCAAAGTAAGTGAGGCAGAACTTCAAAATTCTAGACTCCAAGGAGATACTTGGTTTCACCCTCTCTGAGACAGACCTATTAGTTTTCTTGGCACTCCATGGTATGTTTAAGACTCTTCTCCAGCACCACAACTTGAAGACATCTATTCTTCTTCTGTCATCCTTAGTCATTGTCCAGCTCTCTAAAGCATAACAAGTAATTGAGAAGACCATGGCCTGGATTAGGTGCACCTTTGTCTCTAGACTGACATCATTGATCTTCAGCACTCTGGAGAGGTCCATGAGAGCAGGTTTTCCCAATTCATCTTTTGATTTCCTGACTGCTGGTGTTGAGTGTGGATCCAAGCAAGCTGTAATTGCTAACAACCTCGATCTCATCTCATTCTAATATGGTGCTGCCAATTGGCCCAGTGGTGAGAATCTTTGTCTTGTTGATATTGAGCTTCAATCCATATTGAAGACTACAGTCCTTGACTTTTTACAGCAAGTGCTTCAGATCTTATTCAGTTTCAGCACGCAAGGTAGTATCATCTGTATATCATAAGTTGTTAATGAGTCTTCCTCCAATCTTGATGCCACACTCCTCCTCATAAAGCCCTGTTTCCCAAATGATCTGTTCTGCATACAGACTGAAAAGATGGACACAGTATGCATCCCTGATGCACTCCTTTCCTGATTTTGAACCATGCAGTGTTTCCTTGCCCTGTTCTGTGGACGGAGTAGAGGTCCAAGTATAGGTTTCACATAAGTATGATCAAGTGTTCTGAGAGTCCCATTTTCCTCAAGGTTAGACACAATTTATTGTGATCCACACAGTCAAATGCCTTTGCATAGTCAATGAAACACAGGTAGATATTCTTCTGGTACTGTCTGCTTTCTGCCAAGATCCATCTGACATTGTCAATAATGTCCCTAGCGCCACGACCTCTTCTAAACCCAGCCTGTATTTCTGGATCCTCTGAAAATCTGCCAGAGGGCCAGCTATAATTTGTTTCCAACTCCATGGCATACTACAACAGTAATATTTCAGTGAATTTCTTACTAGTCTTTTTTAGGCATGCATGAAGGTATACATTTAAAGATACTTAAATGCATGAATTTTAAAAATATAATTTTAATCTTATTATATAGTTTGGTTTTTGAGGTTCAGCTCTTTTTCATTTTACCTTAATTTGATAAAATATCTTCAATAATTTATTATTATTTGAAAACAGGATTTTTATTTTCTGTATAATATCATTCATCAGATTGGTGAGTCAAAATATATTTAACTATTTCTTATTTCTATTCTTATAAATGTTTCAATTATTATTAGTGCTGAAATACCTACCCTTTCCCATAAATCACTGTCCTAATCTATGACATTTTCCACAGTATGTAATTAGACTTGAATCAAAAGGTCTACCTGAACTTTTAAAAGACTCTTAGTAAATACTGACATACTATTTTCTAGAAAGGCTATGTCAATTTATACACCTGTCACCAAAGCATGAGTATCTAATTTACCACAGGCTTGTTGTGACTGAGTATAAGTATTAAGCAAATTACCAATTTTACAAGGAAAATTATATCTTGTTTTAATCTCCATTTTTTTCATTATTAAGGTGGTAGACCTGTCTCTTGTTTTGTCATTTATATTTCTTTAGGGAATAATTTTTTTCATGTCATACATCCATTTTATTATTGGAAAGTCACAGAATTTTACTATTGATTTAATATCTTTACATATATATATATATATAACCAATTGCATACCTAAAGCCACAGTGGTAGGAAACAATTTACAGAAATGGGATTAGAATTTGAACAAAATAATTTTTTAAATTATTATTTTTTTTAAATTTATTGTGAAAAACTTGTATGGGGATACAAGGGGGTGAGGGTTGGCAGCAAAGGGGGAGGATTGCCAGGGATGAAATTGTAGGGCTGTGCAATTTGGTGGGTGGGGGGAGGTGGCGAAGGAAATGAGAAAGATACAGTGGGGACCAGAAGAGACAGCGTAATGGTGAGTATAGTCCAATGGTGATTATTATTTTTGTTTTTAAGCCAAGGAATTTCTTATTCACTTGTGGGTTTCTCATTTGGGAATGGGGCGCAGACTCTCTGGCTTCTTCATGTTGAACAGGGGTGCTGATGTGAAGGGGAAAGGGGGAGGTAGGGGAGCCCACTTTAACACTTTATTAATGGTCCTGAGTTGAAGCTGCATGCCTTCTTTTTCTGTTAGAAGATATTTTCCTGACATTTACTGCCCTCTGGATTGCAAAGTGTTCGCCAAGCTAAGGCCAGCAGGGATGCCTGGCTGAAAGTATATTTATATTCTACATGTTGTTGTCAACACATGTAGTAGAAATAAGCCTTTCTGATAATAGACATTGCTAGTCTATTATTTAAACAAGATACCCTGCATCTAAAGATGTAAGGCCTGCCAATGAAAATTAGAATAAGATCATCCCTCCATAAACTGGGTGAGACCATGTTGGAATTTTTGCTATTGCTATAGCCTTAGGTGAATGAAAGGGATAATGGGCTTGACTGATCTTCCCCTTCCAAGGACTTCCACTGGAGTCTTTTCAGTCTTCCAGATTCACTGCAGGTGAATATGTGGCTATGGAGCCATACTGATCCCTGGGTCTGATCAAGCCATCACATGAGCTACTTGAGCCCAAATACAGTCCTAATCTCTTCTAATATAATTCAGCATTGGCATTTATGCTTGAATGTATGAGGTGAACCATGCCTCTTAGCTTTTAAAAACATATTTTTGAGTTCAAATGCTTTTTTCCCACATATATTCTCTTACTTCCACAATCAATGAAAGATGATAACATTTCGATGATGCAGGGGACCATTATTATGCTTCCTTATCAAGAAGTAAAATGCCTCAGAGGCACTGAGGGTCTTCCTTGAGCTCAGAGTCTAGTGAGCTCTGGGGGCCTAGTGGTAAGAAGCTGCATTGTAATCCCAAAGGTATGAAGTTCGAATCCAGCAGCTGTTCTGTGGGAGAAAGATGAGCAATCTCCTCTTGTTTAACTAAATGCCTGCATGAGTCAGCTATAGATTGGTTCTGACTTTGATGGTACCCAACAATA